TCAAGAATGGAAGAACTACCAGTAGGAAAGTTTTTACAAGACAGCATTAATATTGATATAATAGTTTTTATGGCAATAGGATGCTCACAAAGATTGTAGATGAGAATCAGGAATGTTACATAGTTTCCAGGTGCTTTAAATTGTTCAATATTTTAAGAAACTGCAGTTATTCAGGCCTGATAATAAATTCTGTGTATGTGCATGTGTAGAGCCATCTATTTATACCTGTATAAATACTGTGTGTGTGTGTGTGCGTGTGTACCTGTCCAGCCCCACCCTTGGTATGATTCCATCCTGAAAGAACCATAATTTTTGGTGTTGAACGGGCACGGAACACAAGATTTCCTTTGTCCTGTGCCATGGTTGTCAGGAGTTTGTGAGAGCACCTCTCCCCTAAACATTTCCAGTTAATGTACTCTCTGTGTACCAATATTGTTGATAGGTACAAGTTCTTAATCTTTTCCTATGTAGAATCATTGCTAAATACTACAGTTTCACTGTTTTGATCTTGGCATGCTCATATGTATCAGGATACCTTCGGGACAAGATTTTTGTCTTTCAAATTTTCTTTGATCATTCCTACATTACACACAGTTCCTTGAATGCAAGACTTCTTTCCCGACATTCCAGTTAATATATCTGTAATTGTTCATCATTCCATCCTTGCAAATTAGGACAAATGCTAATGGATTGCCTTTCACACTAACTGGTAGCAGTAATTCAATATCTTGACTCCTTTTGGATAGCTTGTAAATCAGAAGAATTTTTTTGTTGATAGAAAAGCCCATATTTAGGCCCTGTTTTCTTATTTCACAATTTATTTGCCTAATGATAATGACCCGTAGGAGATTTTGTGAGGCACATTCGGGTATCTTTGGGAACATAGTTCTGCAGATTACTGTAGGATGTAAGATTACATAACGCTACATCTAACACTGTAATTATGTCTTATTCTTACATACAATCCTCATAGATATGTGTTCTAGTAAGAAGTAATGCTCTGTCTAATATTTATAAGGAAGTTGAGTTAAGCTCACTGTAAATAATTTTTTTCAGAACTTTACTCTGAGCTTTCCTCTACATTTATGAAATCTTTGCAAGAAGTTATTTGTATCAAAATCTGAAATTTCTGGACTTTTTCCTATGTGTACTTTTACATTCTCTATCTTTTTCACTTTCTGAGTGTTCTTGGATATATTGTTATTATGTTAGTATATGCGCAATATATCTACAGTTAAGCAGACAGGCATTACACAACATTATGCCATAGTGGAACCTCAAACGTCTGTGAACACTACTCATTAAATAGGATTCTTGCTATGAATTCTGATATGTATATAAATTGCCCGGTGTGCATGTTTAAGAGTGGGCATGCACATTTAGTATCCAATTGCCACCTGAGGTTGATCATTTAAGTAGTCTCAGTAACGCATCAGAGCAAGGCAAAGTTCGATGTGAGGAATACATAAGAGGTCATGCTAGCCAGTGATGCCTATTACAACCATAGACCTTGTCAAGATGTTGTAGTTAGGTAATAAAAATGTGAGCACTGTTTGGAGACTGGAGCTCCTAAGGTGTGAATAACTTAAATAGTAGAGACAATTAGAGTTGTTTGCAAAGATAAATGAATGGGAGTGGTTCCTTAATGATAAGATGGTGAGTATTCATATCGGTAGAAATGGCGAGCAGCATGGAGAATACTCATTAATTTAATGACTACAGCAGGAAAGCTGACAGCAGACTGAGGGAAGCATCAGTTATGTACAATTTTTAACATAGATTTATAATGGCCAGAGGAATAATGAAATGACTGTTTCTTGGGTGCACTTAGAACCCTACTCTCATGTTCATTATAGTCAGCATCTGATCCCAAAAGGTTGCAGAATGTCAACATAAATGAAAGAAAAAGGTATAAACGTTTTTGATAATGGGGGTCACAGCTGTAATAGTGTAAGAATCCTTTCTGTGGCTGTGTGAGCAACTCCTCTTGCCTTTCCAGTCATTCAGGAGAGTCTGGTGTGATGTTACAGGAACAGCCAGTAGTGACTGGCCATTAGTACCTTCCCCCGAGAGTAACTCCCACAAGATCAGTTTACTGCTGAATCTTCTTGACTTCTGAAAGCAACAATAATTGTGATACCCAGAAGTTCTTGCTGTGATTCTAAGCCCATTCCTACTTTCACTCTAGAAAGTACTTGGGTGACACTTCAGTCTGTCCATTAGTTTTTATTTACACTGGATTCTGGCAGCAGACCACAATAGAGCAAACATCAATTTGTTAAAGTTGTTTCCTTTCAAGTTGAACTATATCTCACTACAGCTAGAAAACAGGCAGAATAGCTCTAGTATTTTTGCTATTTTGGCCTAATTTCTTAAAAATGCATTTTTACCAAGATCTATCTCATTGTGGAAATACAATTCAATATATAGCAATTAAACAGGAGAAGGGTGAGGAAGTAGTGACAATGACAGCATAAGCCTTCAGTGCAGGTTAGAAGCTGGACTACGTTATGTCAGGATGTTCAGCCAGGGAAAGTCAGCAAGGAGAATGATACAAAAGCAATGCGTGTGTGGGGGTGGGGAGTTGTTGCATATTTGGGCTTCTGAATTTGGCAAAATTATGAACAGAACTATGGCTTTGTCTTTTGGCACAAAGGTTTAGATGGTAGATGATTAAGCATCAAGTTATATTAATGCTTAAATTAAGACAGAAACAGGCATTCAGATTTAAGGTTGCTCAGCTGAAACCCTAGATCATCAGGGAAGCCTTCAGTAATCAGTTGTTGTGTTTCATGCCCATGTTTTGTAATCTCACTCAGATTTCACCTTGGCACGCAGCTCTGAAGCAGTACGTAGGATGTGCATGTGGGTGAGGACAATAGGATACACCTTCTCATGAGAACTTTAGGAAGAGTTTGGGAAATACTGTTGCAGAAGGCAGACTGACAGGAAAAAAGCTATTTAGAATTTTAAAATTCTGGGGTTGGGCTGTGTACTACATTAGAAGCATGTACATTTATAGAGTGCTGTGATGAAAACTGAATTAATAGAAACTTTTTTAAACCAAAGCATAAAAAAGGAAGACTAAATTTTAGACACAAGGGAGGAAAAGAACACTGTCAGATGGAAAAAGGGTACAGTGGGTACAGCGAGAACAGTGGGAAACCAATATAAAACCAGAAGGAGAGTTAGAGATTCTTAAAGAGTGAAATCAATTGACAAATTTTAACAAACATTTCAAGTAGCATTAAATTATTTCCGGAGTTTGAGAGGTGAAAAGATTAAATATGTCAAATGAATGAATGACAAATTCACAAGAGATAAGGAGTTCACTAGAGCTATCTCAAGGTAATCTTAGTCAAGCTATTTTGTATGAAGTGAAATTTCCCTATTCTCAGTGTGTAGCAGCCCTCCTTTTCCTATGCTTTCTGTTTGTTGTTTAAAGTTGGATTTTTTTTAATTTTTTTTTTCCAAATGCCAGTTCAACAAACTTTCCATCATTCTCTTTTTGGACTGTTTTTTTCTTGACAGTTAGTCTCTTTTCCTGTTCTTTTTTTGGTTGTTTGACTTCTAATATCCAGCTTGAAATGCAGATTTTTAAGGGAAGAGAAAGGTAGTTGCTTTACAGTTTGGTTTTTTTTTCTCTGTTAGTTGGAATAGATGTTCCAGATTGCAGTACTACTTGAACAAAGGATTATATTAACATAAATACCCCAGAGAGGACAATCATTATAGGCCATGATTGGCTGTAATAGAAGACAAGCTAATGTTGGAATTGTTTTTTTTTTCCTACAGAAAATATGAACAAAACCTATTTACAAAAAAAAAAAAAGGTAACTTTGGGGAGGAAGAAGATGATCCATGCAAAAGAGATCTTTGTAGAATCCAAGTCTCTGTCTGGATGCTTGATAGGCTAGCTGTAGTCATTATGAAATGAATAAATGAGCTGGAAAGAAAAATAATCAAACCTTTCAGACTTGACTTGTGATTTCACTCGTAATTGGCCTAAACAACACAGAGACAATTTTATTATTTAATGTAATAAGAAATTACAGCATGCTACAGTACTACATGATATCCTGAAAATATTTTTTAGAAGGACTCTGTGCCTCAGTGGAAAATTGTCACCTGTAGTCAGATGTCCACTGCAGAAATTGCAGTATCAATTTAAAATACTGTCACTTGGCAACTGTTTGCTCCACCCAGTGGCAGAGGTAACAGAAGGGCTGTGAGCAGAACCATTCATGCAGTCCAGCTGCTGGCTTTCTGCACAACCAGTGGCTTAAGCATATACTCATCAGCTTCTGGGTGGTAATGCCTCAGACTTGAACATCTCCTCCATGAGCAGCTGATTACATAGAGTCTGTCTGTAGCAAATTTATACAAGCAACAAAGAAATGAGATGCTATTAAAAAATACTCTCAGTTTATATTCCTGCAGTGAGCTTTATAGTTTAAAAAGCTGAAAATTCAGCGTAGGAAAACTGTATTGATCTTTTCATTGTTCAAATAGTTGCTATGTATGACATCGTATATGTGTCATTTACAAAATACGACATATCAAAAAGCATGCTTTAATATTACTGGAGATATAGCAATTGTTAAAAACAATACTTCAGATTTTGCTTTGCTCTGTCTAGTTAAATGGATTACTGCTGTTAAAACTCATTTTTACACTTCTAAAGAAAATGTATGTTAAATATTAAGGGCTTGACTGTGCAACTCTGCACAAGTGGAAGTAGTGCCATGGTCTAAGTGAGATACTTTTACTTGCACTGAGCAATGACTTCAAGATTTGTGCTTGATATGATCTGTATATGCCAACACTACTCTTACAGTACGTATTCTTTTCATGCGCACAAAGGTTAGGACTCACCAACAGCATACTTGACATCATGCTCTACTTTTCAAAGCAAGTAGAATGGATATTGTGTCTATAGTGTTCTTGCAACAGTAACTTGCTTTTGATGATTTTTCCTCTTTGTGAATTCTTTTCACCAGGTATCTTCAGATCTTTCGATGGTGGGTGGTGCACCTGTTATTAGTGTAGAACCAGATGACACAGTCGCTTATACTTTGAGTGTATCTCCATGGAGACGAGGAATCTTTGAAGGTACAGTGTAGAACCCAAATATATAAAATCCCTATAAATTAGCAGATTAGATCTGTTTACATTTAATGCTGATATTTCTGTTCAACATAACCTTTCTTCTGGAAATAAGGCTCTAATTACTGCTTATACTGGTTTTTAAGCTGGCTCATATTTTTATTTGTAAAGGTATATCACTGCTAAAAATGTGGTCAGGTCTTTCAAAAATGCCAGCATATGTGCAACTTTATTAATTTAATTGGTCACATGAAAATTGACTCAATAGGAATTCATGATTTCGAATTATCACCAAGTTCTTGGGTCTAAATTTAGTTTTCCAAAACCTGTTGAATAACTGTAGTTATCTTAGCACTACTATTTACAGGCAGAGACCAGAATTTTACTCTTTCCTTCAATTAAAGTTCAATTTGTTGACTGCAAGGCAAGAGTACATATAGAGAAAGTAGTGAACCAAATTCCTTCTTTGAGATGTGTAGAGGCTAGGGATATCTAAAATTAATTGCAAATAATTTGCGTCAGTCCATGTTTGTACCGGTATTCTTATGATGCAATAGCAAGACTCTGGCTTGTTTCAACTGACATCAGCATGTCATATTTAATGGTCTGTCCTGAAAAGAATTTTTTCAAGCGAATATTTTTTTAACAATTCCAGTGTCATAATTTTCAAATGCTTAGTAATAATTATACAATTCCGTGGTGCTCATTGTTTACCTTAGAACCCGAAAAGTGTGATTGTTTAATATCTTTATCAATGATCTGGATGATGGGAGCAAGTACTCCTTCAATAAGTTTGCAGACGACACCAAGTTGGGTGGGATTGTTGATCTGCTCGAGGGTAGGAAGGCTCTGCAGAGGGGTCTGGACAGACTGGATCGATGGACCAAGGCCAGCTGTATAAGTTTCAACAAGGCCAAGTGCTGGGTCCTGCACTTTGGTCACCACAACCCCATGCAACACTAGAGGCTTGGAGAGGAGTGGCTGGAAAGCTGCCTGTCAGAAAAGGATCTTGAGGTGCTGGTCGACAGCCAGCTGAACATGAGCCAGCAGTGTGCCCAGGTGGCCAAGAAGGCCAGCGGCATGCTGGCTTGTATCAGGAACAGTGTGGCCAGCAGGAGTAGGGAGGTGATGGTGCTGCCTGAGCCCGGGACCGGGTTGCTCAGAGAGGCTGTGGACTCTCTTTCTCTGGAGATATTCAAGACCTGCCTGGACAAGGTCTTGTGCAGCCTGCTCTAGGTGACCGTGCTTCAGCAGGGGTGTTAAACTAGATGACCCACAGAGGTCCATTCCAACCCTTACCATTCTGTGATTCTGTGAGTTGCTGGAGCGTGTCCAAGGAAGGGCAACGAGGCTGGTGAGGGGTCTAGAGAACAAGTCTTACGAGGAGCAACTGAGGGAGCTGGGGCTGTTTAGTCTGGAGAAGAGGAGGCTGAGGGGGGACCTTATTGCTCTCTATAGCTACCTGAACTGAGCTGAGGTTGTAGTGAGGCAGGGGTTGGTCTCCTCTCCCAAGTAACTAGTTATAAGATGAGAGGCAATGGCCTCAAGTTGCATCAGGGGAGGTTTAGATTGGCTATTAGGATAAATTTCTTTACTGAAAGAATGGTCAGACATTGGAACAGGCTGCCCAGGGCGGTGGTTGAGTCCCCATCCCTAGAGGTGTTCAAAAAACGTGTAGATGTGGCACTTTCAGACATGGTTTAGCAGGCATGGTGATGTTGGGTTGATGATTGGGCTTGATGAACTTAGTGGTCTTTTCCAACCTTAATGATTCAATGATTCTATGACGCTGTACAGTCAGTCTTTTTCTTCCTTGTAGAGTACCTGTTGTAGTGACTCTCAGCAGAGCAAAGTACGAGAGTGTGTTTGGGAGGGAATTATAGGAGTAGAAGCCACTCTCTTAAGTAACTGAATAGTGCTTAGGAAAGCTAGAACAACTTCTGAAACAAATGGATTCCTGAGATTGGGTGAATCTCTTAATCCAAAGTGTTTAGGGTATAGTTTTGATTTTGTGGGTTCCTGACTCCAAACACTTGATTGTGCTGCCTTGTTAGATAATTAATGACAGCTGTTTTGTCAATATTCAAAAGCTATTAAGTCTTGTCCCTGAGGTACCAAACTAGTTTGCTCATTTGGCCATTTTGGTTTTGGTATCTGATGTGTAAAATGCAGGTATTAATGTCATCTCAATTCACAGGTGATTTGTGAAAAGAAATTGATACTTGTAACAAAGCTTGGCCCAGTGCCACAGGAAGACTTCAGTGCCTTCTTGGTAAATCTGTAGCCCTGAGACAAAATTCACTTGCTCTGAACAACAGTCAGATTTCAATTAAATTTGTGACCATCAGAGATGTTCACCAGGAAATATCGAGGATGCACTGTATTATAATTTATACCTTTTTTCGGGCATTAAAGATTTAGGAATATTATCTTCTGGCTTAGAAAATGCCCAATTCTTTTACACATACTGAAAGTTTGAGTAGGAGAAGTTCAAGGGATCTATCATACAGCACATTAATACCAGGTGGTGAAAGCCATGCCTTCAAAGGGGCAAAGATGCCATGTTCAGATCAACATTTCCTACGTTCTGTCATTCCCCTGACTTCTATTGCAAAGGTTTCCATTATGTATGGAAGTATTATATATTGACTGAGTGAGAGAGAACAATCAGTCTCTCTAACCCAACAGAAAATTGGTTCAAAGGCTGGGAAGCCATGAACGTTCTTTTTTTGTTTTTTTCAGAAGACAGTTCATTTATTTTATGCTTAAAAATAACTTCATGGAAAGCTGAAGTTATCCTTTGAAAAGAGACAGGGCCCAGTTCTCTACCATCCACCCCCTGGCTCAGTGCTTGCTTTAATCACTGCCTTCAGAAATCACGTTCCTTCTTCTGCTGCAGCAGGGACAGTTTCGGTTTTGTCACAGAAATTTGTGCGCACTCCCTAATCATGCAGCTGCTGTAGGAGGGAGGGGGGTGGAGGAAAGGAGAGCCACTGTGGCAGGTTTGAAAGGCAGCAGCTGATTTTGCTGTCTGATGTTAGGTGTGATATAAACCTAACTACCAGGTGTCCTATCTAAGGTAACATAAGGTAGGAGGTGCTTACTTTGTGGCTTCAGGGAGAATGGAGATCTGTCTGCTTCATACTGTGCAAGGCTGGAAAGTCATATTTGTTCCTCAAAGCAGAATTTTCGGCTCCTGGGAAACTTTAATGTCAAAGCTGAGATATATCTACATTTTTGGCACTTTCAGGGTTTTTCAGCAGCCAGTCTGAAGCTTGAGGATCACAGATTAGATGTGGGTGGTTCAAGTGGAATTAATTAGGATTTAGGAATCTTAGCCCTTTCTAGGTTCAAGGTACTACAGATAAAGCGTAATTTAAACACCCAAACCCAAAGGTATTCTTTATTCAGTTTGGTGAATTTGTTTAGAGGGAAGTAAATAACCCATACGCCAACATGTTGAATGAAAATAAAAAGTGATGCTTAAAAGCTATCCACAGAGTGAATAAATTTTATCCTGTGGGGAAAAAAAGAACAACTATTTAGATATCTAGTTGAAGACTCTGTCATAGCGCTGATGGATGATTTCAAGTTTAGAACTCCCTAACTTGTAAGTATAAAACTTTGTAGCCTTGGTGTTGTAGTACTGTTTTTTTTCATATTAAAATAAACCCTCAGAAAAGGACTTTTACCATATAAATTTTTGTACCAAGCAAATAGCCTGCATTTTTCCTTTACACTGAAAGTCTTTTTTGTTGCAAAATTATATAGTTGCAAAATTATACTTCTTTAACTTTCCTTCTTGCTATTTTGTGACTGCAAAGCTAAAAGTGGGCCCAGTTCTTTTCAGAAGTCCATTTGCAAGTATTCCCATAGAGGGATAATATTATATGCTTTGGCTGGTTTGTAGCTGTATGACAGCTTTAACATAGAAATAATAGCTAATAAACATTTCACACAAGATTCTGGCACCAGATAAAATTCTTCAGCAATCTATTTTCTAAGTAATAGAGCAATTTCCCTTAGGTTTGAGAAAGCATCTTCTACATATTACTTTACCTTTTATCGAACTCTTATTTCTACTTTCCACCGAATAGACCAGAATTTTTCAAGAATAGACCAAAACTCATAATGCTTGAATGTATCTTGTTCAAAAAATACATGTGATATAATCACAGTCCATTTATCTTTAAAAATTTTCTAGCTTTTGGAAAGGAGCTTTCTTGTTCTATTTATCACCTTTTATTTATTTTTTAACTATAGCTGTACTTAGTAGGCAGCACTTCTCCATGCTACTTGGGGCTTTTGAAGCTTATGTTGAGGAAAATGGGCAGTATGTTACAGGCCATGGCCAGTCAGACTGCGGCAGCAGGACAATTTTAATGAGATGGTGAAGATCCATCCCTTATTGGATGTGAGGGAAAATATTGCCAAGAAGGACGAGGAAAAGGCTGAGGTACTTAATGACTTCTTCGCCTCAGTCTTTAATAGTCAGACTGGTTATTCCCAGGGTAGTCAGCCTCCAGTGCTGGAAGATATGGAAGGAGAGTGGAACAAACCTCCCATAATCCAGGGGAAGCAGTTAACGACCTGCTACTCCACCTGGACACTTAGAAGTCTCTGTGGCCGGATGTGATCTACCCAAGAGTGCTGAGGGAACTGGCGGTGGAGCTGGCCAAAACACTCTCTATCATCTGTAAGCAGTCCTGGCTAACGGGAGGTCCTGGAAGACTGGAGGATAGCCAATGTGACACCCATCTACAAGAAGGGCCGGAAGGAGGATCCCAGGAACTACAGGCCTGTCAGCCTGACCTCAGTG